ATTGGTGAGAACTTAGCAATTACACTTGGATTTGGACAGCCAGTAAAAAATATTAGCACCCCACGAATCAGTGATTGTATATGCATTACCCGATTTAGTTCCCTATAAAGAGTTGTGTATCCATCTTGATCAGATCAGTACGACGGATAATATTCAACAAGAAAGTCCTTTAACTCTACTCAGATGTGTTCCAGTGAAAAATGAAAAATATAATAGCGGTAGAACGGAATCTTTCTCAACATTACAATATAAAAAATTAAAGCGTGGTATTATTTCAGACCTCAAAATTTCTGTATTAGATGTAAAACATCAACCTGTACATATAGGATACTTAAGTGTAACACTCCATATTATAAATAATGGTTGATTCCATATTTAAGTTATGATATAGTATCATTGTATATTTGATATGTATGTTACACTCCTGGGAATAACAAATGGTCAGTCTATTGAACTGCTTCGTACTATCGATAACTCGGATGGTCAACTCAAAGTCGCCCTATGCGATGTAACGTATTACCCGAGGTGGACCAATATAAATGCTATAAAAAATAATAATAGGATAATTACATTAACTTCATATGGTACTAGCAAATCCATTACTATACCTGATGGGTATTACAGCGTAAGCTCACTCAATGATGAAATTTTTAAGCCTAATGGAATTAGTCTCACACAAAATGAGGCGACTGGGACAGTGAAATTAGACACTGGAAATCCAAATATAATTGTATTGGACCAATCAGGTAGAGAGGAATTTAGTCGCTTTATTGGCACACATCCTGATGTTAAATTACCCGATTTAGTTCCCTATAAAGAGTTGTTCATCCATCTTGATCAAATAAGCACGACGGATAATATTCAACTAGAAAGTCCTTCAACTCTGCTCAGAAGTGTTCCAGTGAAAAATGAAAAATACAATAGCGGCAGAACGGAATCTTTCTCGTCATTACAATATAAAAAATTGAAGCGTGGTATTATTTCAGACCTCAAAATTTCTATATTAGATGTAAAACACCAACCTGTACATATAGGATACTTAAGTGTAACACTCCATATTAAAAATAATGGTTGATGCATCAGGCCCTGGAACACTAAGACAATGTAATACAATTGCGCTTTCCGATCTCGGAGACACAGAAGGATTTGATAAACCCGGTTACAATGGTAAGTTATACGCTTTACACTAACACAATAATGTATACAAGCGGAAAGAAGTCACATTCATGGGTAATCTAGGAGATTTAAGCGATGTCGACGTTAGTAGACTAATTAAAAACACTTCGTATAATATTACTCGCAACGACGATAATAAATGGGCTATGATCGAAGCAAACATCGAGTGACTACTTAATATCGTCATTACCCCACCTTATGTGATGATGGGTAAGGGACATAATTTAACTAAGATAATAAATAGTGGCATCGTACTCGCGGCTTATATCCCATCAAAACGAAAAAGTGTGTTAGTTACCCCCCTGCCAGAAAACCCAGGTCATATGTTATATAGTCGTCCGGCCTTAAAAAATGTTACTTTAAATTTGGTTACTGAATTCGATGATATTAAAGTTAACTTGAGTGCAATACCTAATATTTCTACGCTTATTATTGAAGTCTTGTTCGGAGATGCACCGGTAGATGCCTTCGAAATATTACCAGGTCTATCGATTAAATGGCTCAAGAAACACGAGCGTCAACGTTGCAGTATTATTCATATCGGAGCATCGCCCGTTGCAACCCTCGAGGGGGTCCAAATTTTTAAAAGTGACAGCATTTCTCTTTCTAAGATATTCTTGCCGTATAATATACATTTGATAAGGTTGATGTATAGTCTCAAAACATTTAAGCAAGACCAATTAAAGACTATTATATGATCGTAATATACACTATGAGTTTATATCCGGCGCTCGGTGAAGCATTTGAAAAGATGGAAACTGTTGATGGATTTCGATTACATCAAATAAGCGACATAAAACATCGAATAGAGAAGGATAGGGAGTTGAGACTTGGATTGTATAAAAAGTATCGCAGAGCCGTGAATGCTCTGGACGGAGTTGACACCGCTCTTGTAGTATCTGGCATGGGACTCGGTGTAGCGGGTATCGGTTTACTATCAACTATAATCGCCGCGCCTATCGTGCTCGGCATGGAAATAACCGCTGGAGTCTCGGGACTGGCAGGAATAGCGATAAAATTCATTTCTCGTAGGTTACAAAAGAAAGCATTAAAACACGATAGTATTCGGATACTTGCCGAAGCAAAGTTGAACAGCATTGAGGATCATATTTCGACAGCAATGGCCGATTGTAAGATATCCGAGGATGAGTTTCGTTTAGTGCTGTGGGAACTCACCAAATACAATGAAATGAAGAAGGAGATTCGATCAAAATCTCGTAAGACCAGTGGTATTAGCGAAGACGAGAAAAAAAAGTTCATAGAACAGGGGAGGCAACAAGCGCGTCAATTATTCCGTGCCAAAACCAAAGAACTGGTTGGAGATTAAAAATAAATTGCTTACTATCGTTTGATCACATTTAGACAAATGCTTACATAAATATATATAATAATGGAGAAAGCTATTAAATGGAGAGAATTACCACAAGGTTTTTATTATATCAGTGATGTCAAACCAACCAAATACGGTTATCAATTGTTTCTTATCAATTTACAAGAAGAGTGTAGTTATATAGTCTGGTCTCCTAGTAAAATGAACGAAGAACTTAATAAAAATGTTGAATATCGCTTTATCGATAAAAATAATGAAGAATATTTTTATTACCATTTAGACTCATCTAAAGCAATGATTGGCTCCAGGTGGTGGTGAGCTGGAGTCAATTTAACTTAATCTCATGACTATCATTGAATCGCATAATCATTTTGGCATAAAAAATGCCACCTGTAGTAGCAGTATAGGTATATGAATCCTGCTCCAGTGGAAGTGAGCTAGAACCCCTATTACCTATAAAAATTTATATCATTGGCTCCAGGTGGTGGTGAGCTGGAGTCAATTTTAGTTAATCTTATGACTATTGTTAAATCGCATGATCATTTTGGCATAAAAAATTCCTCCTGTAGTAGCAGTATAGGTATATGAATCCTGCTCCAGTGAAAGTGAGCCAGAACCCCCATTACTTATACTACTTGGAGTGCTTGCTTGATTTTATTTATTAGCAGTATAATGTATCTTGTATATATTTAGAGTTCTTGATGAACTCACAGTTCAGTGAGTCATTATTATCTGTATAAGGAAGTACCAAAACGGATGTATGATGTATTGTATGGATACGTGTGATGTATTGTACGGATACGTGTGATGCATTGTACGGATAGGTGTGATGTATTGTACGGATAGATGTGATGCATTGTACGGATAGGTGTGATGTATTGTACGGATACGTGTGATGCATTGTACGGATAGGTGTGATGCATTGTACGGATACGTGTGATGTATTGTACGGATAGGTGTGATGTATTGTACGGATAGATGTGATGCATTGTACGGATACGTGTGATGTATTGTACGGATAGGTGTGATGCATTGTACGGATAGGTGTGATGCATTGTACGGATAGGTGTGATGTATTGTACGGATAGGTGTGATGTATTGTACGGATACGTGTGATGCATTGTACGGATAGGTGTGATGCATTGTACGGATAGGTGTGATGTATTGTATGGATAGGTGTGATGTATTGTATGGATAGGTGTGATGCATTGTACGGATAGGTGTGATGTATTGTATGGATATGTGTGATGTATTGTACAGATAGGTGTGATGTATTGTATGGATAGGTGTGATGTATTGTATGGATATGTGTGATGTATTGTACAGATAGGTGTGATGCATTGTACGGATATGTGTGATGTATTGTAGGGATACGTGTGATGTATTGTACGGATAGGTGTGATGTATTGTATGGATAGGTGTGATGCATTGTACGGATAGGTGTGATGTATTGTATGGATAGGTGTGACGTATTATACAGATAGGTGTGACGTATTGTACAGATAGGTGTGATGTATTGTATGGATAGGTGTGATGTATTGTATGGATAGGTGTGATGTATTGTATGGATAGGTGTGATGTATTGTATGGATAGGTGTGATGCATTGTACGGATATGTGTGATGTATTGTACAGATAGGTGTGATGTATTGTACAGATAGGAGTGATGTATTGTATGGATAGGTGTGATGTATTGTATGGATATGTGTGATGTATTGTACTGATAGGTGTGATGTATTGTATGGATAGGTGTGATGTATTGTATGGATAGGTGTGATGTATTGTATGGATATGTGTGATGTATTGTACTGATAGGTGTGATGTATTGTATGGATAGGTGTGATGTATTGTATGGATAGGTGTGACGTATTATACAGATAGGTGTGATGTATTGTACAGATAGGTGTGATGTATTCTATGGATAGGTGTGATGTATTCTATGGATAGGTGTGATGTATTGTATGGATATGTGTGATGCATTGTACGGATAGGTGTGATGTATTGTAAAAATATGTGCAGTACTAGATAATGTACAGAAGTGATATTTATTTATGAAAATGATATCTACATTTTATAAATTCAAAGAATACCTGTAACAGATTGTATTTATTTATTAGATTCTATGTTATATTTGTTTATGTTGTAATTTCATTGTTTTAGGCTGACTACATAACTAAATACATAAATAAATGTCATCAGCCTCACCCCCACAGCATTTTCGTGATTAATTGGGCTAGTATATTGGCTACTATACTATTGGCCAACACAAGCACGATTACACAAAAACTCCACATAATTGGATAAAATTATTTATAAACAAAACATTTATGTTCCCAGAACATTTTGTGAAACCTTTTTGTGAATGACCTTGTAGTGTGGTGGATAGCTGACAAAAGATCTTTTTCAACAATAACCGTAAATTGCAATATCGTGTATGATGCTCATCATGTCTTGTATAACAGACAAATGGACTACAAGCTGGTGCCTATATTTACCTGCAAATGTTGCTTGGTGTGAGGAGTGGACACAGCACCACAAGTGTATTCCCTGTACAGAGGCCTGACCAGTTCTCCTGACCTGCAACAGGCAAATAACTAAACTATGCATGTAATAGCACAATAATATAGTGAAATTTGTCAAAACAAGACAAGATTACTGTCTAACGTACAAATTTAGTTGTCCTACCTCCTAAGTTTATTGATCATCAAATATATTTCTATAAAATGTTCTCCATTGTAAATTTTCTTTTCAAATTTGTTAGAGAAAAATAATCCAATTAATCTCATACTTTGTTCTCCTTAATCTGGATTAGATTCCATAACCTGTATGTCCCAAACAATTTTTTTAAAATATTAACCACTCCAAATCTTGCATCCCTCTCTAATTGTATTACAAAAAAAATTGAAATTACGCTGATCTGGTAACAACAAACCTCAACTCAAATCAAACAATAGTTATCATTGTTAATAATACTAAGAATACAACCTCTGTTACATCATAGCCATAAATCCTGTACTGTATAACTAAATCTTCAGATTTTAAACAGAAGTCCTCTTCACTGTCAACTACACATAACTAGTTGTACCCCTAGTAGCACGTGTAGCTTTTCCGTTCTTCTGTGCAAAAAAGGCAGGAAATACATCACTTCTTTCAAAAACATCTAAGCACTGGAGGCAGATGAATTGGGGAAGTGTGTGGGAGTACTTCCTGATGTAATAGAGGTAGTATTCTCAGAATTATTAACAATGATAACTATTGTTTCATAATTCCTGCGAATCCTATTACATCATAGCCAGAATATACCAGAGGGTTAAGGCGGGATCTGCCTCCAGTAACTCCCTGTGTAGTTGACAGCAATCCAATACTCTTGTATGAGTTCTTGTATATTACTGGATTCAAACCCTTTCAAGAGGTAATTACTCTAGAATCTCTCTTAGAGGACTTGAAACCGGGTATTATGATTATATCAATCAATATGCGATACCTTCACCTGAAGTACCTTAGTATTTGCTGATAATCATGAAAGGATGTCTTTAGTTTTATTCTTACTCATCATTTGTCTCAGATTATGAGAGTAACGTCACTAGGCTCGACCTAGTGTCACTTCCAACGTCTAGGACCTTGTCTAGGAGAGACCATGGTGGGAACGCATATGCAAACATTCCTGTCCATTCCATGGATAGTGCATCTATCTGAAGAGCTCTCGGATCTTGAACCAGGCTGACGTAAACTGGAAGTTGATGGTTGAGACAGGTCATGAAGAGGTCCAGATGCGGGGTGTCCCAAACCCACTCTGTGAGTAAAATCCTACCTCTCCAAGACATGCTCTCTGCTAATATGTTCAGTTTGCCTGGAATATGTCTTGCTTCCATCCAGCAGCTGAATGAGTTGGCCAAGGCAAATAGCTGATTAGTTTCCATCATCAGCGAATGGGACTTGGTTCCGCCTTGCTTCTGAATGTAGGCCACCACTGTTGTGTTGTCTGTGGCAATCAGGACGGATGATTTGATTTGATGATCTTTCCAAGTCTTGAGAGCACAATAGATTGCTTTCATCTCTCTGCAATTTAGGTGTAGAGCTGTTTCCGTCTCGCTCCATAAACCCTGAACTTGGATGTCATCTATGTGAGCTCCCCAACCTGAATCCGATGCTTCTGGTGTTTGGGAGCTGGTAGAGTGAGAGGAATCCCCAACATGACAGGATCTTGTTGAGTCCACCAGATTAGATCTTGACGTAGGTGGAGAGGTATGAGTACCTGTGTATCCAGGATCTGAGATCGTAGGGAACTGATCAAGTTCTGCAGTGGGCGTAATTGTAATCGGCCTCTGTGAGTTATATCTTTTAGAGAGGACAGTGTTCCCATGAGAAACATCCACCATCTGATCGATCTGGTAGGTTGGTCTCGGGCTGAGTTGATCATGTCGATGGACTTGTTGAACTGGTCCTCTGGGGGGCAAAGATATCCCGTGCGTAGAAGAAATCTGGCCCCGATGTAGACTATGTCTTGTACCGACAAATCTCTGACTTGGTCGGATGGATGAGGAACCTGAGGTAAGACATGAGTTGGGTGAGGAATGTCACAGGAGTGTTCCTGATTGGCAGCCAGGAAATCGTCTAGATAGCCATAAAGTCATACCATCTGTAAATGAGCGAAGTCGATGACTGGAGCCGTTGTTCTGGTGAATAGCCAAGAGGATATTGATATGCCGAATTTGTAATGACGGTCGTTTACTGCGAAACAGAGGTACCTTCATGACATGCGGTGGATTGGCACATGGAGATATGCATCCTGAAGGTCGAGGCTGATGACCCAATTTCCTGTTCTGTGGGATGAACATGGTTTCTTAATTGATTCAATCTGACATCTTGGAGGCGGGACCAAGTTCTTCTTGTTCTTGTTGAGAGTTTTGAGATCGATGATCATTCTTATCTCTGTAGAGTTCTACTTTTATGCTAAGAACCCCAGATTTTCGTTGGTATTCAGCAATCTCCGTATGGCCCGTTTGGTGAGAAGGGTCTTGATTTCAAGGTTGGCTGCATCCAGTTTGGCATCTTTCAGGTGAAACCTGTGTCCCACCAGGCGGGATGCAAGTCGAGGGTGCTTGTGAAAATGTAGCTTGTACCCGTGATTGAGAACGTCTAAAATCCAGCAGTTGGTCGTAATGTGCGTCCAAATTTTGACGAATGACAAAAGACGCCCTCCCACTGGACCCTGAGATGGCGTTATGTTGTATGGCGGAAGTCGTATATCGTAATCCGTAGACAAAGCCAGTTCGATAGGATCTGCGACGCTCGGAGAGGGGAGAAAAAAAGTCATCTTCTGTCCCCGCGACCTCCGGACTTGAAATCTCTATGGCCAGATCCGAGGCGTTTGGAGTCTGAGTAACGAAAAGATTCTGACGATGGCTTGTCGTTACGCTGGGATGCCTGGTAGGATTCCTTTCTTGACAGGATGTACTTCTTTCACGGTGGTTCGTGGAAAGAGGAATCCCTGGCCGGTTCCCAAGCTTGTTTAGGTGGGAACTGTGATCCGAAGTAGGCGTTGAGAGAAATCGATGTGACGAAGGAGAGTGTTTGATTCCTTGTTGGCTTGAAGGTCTGAGATATAGGTTTCGAAGACGATGCCACAAGTGTGTAGGAACTTGACAAAGGGTTTTGTGGGGCGAGTAAATAGCCATGGGGCCAAGTGTGGAGGAGTCTCTAGGTATAGTTTGTTGAAGGTTTTCATGTTGAAGAAGAAATGTAGTTAAGGAAAGTCTTTCTTGGGAACCAGAAAAATTGGAGTAGAGAACCCTGGTGTCACTGGTCAAGTGGCAACATTCTATTGCTTTCTTTACAAGTAACATGCATATGTCGTCTATGAGAACTGGAAGATGTTTGGCTGGATAGAATGTTGAGATGATTTGGAAGTGTCACTGCAAGAGGTAGAGGATAACCTGTTTGTAGGAGACGAGACAAATGTGTCTGGGATGGTTCAGTTTAAAGTAAATGATCACGAAGACGGCGAAAGGATCCAAATGCTTTGTCTAAATTGGTGGTCATATCCTGCAGGACTGGTCTGGCAGGAAGTGTGAAGTTCGGTGACGAGGCTGAAGGTGCAACAAATGATAAGGTGTCCTCCGTTGAAGTGCTTTTGACAGTTGTAATTTATCTGCTATCCAGGTAAGTACAGTGATCAGATCTGCTATGTCGAAGATCCCGGATGACGAAGCTGGGGAGGTATTGTGGTCTGATGACTGTTGCTGGTGGTTGTTTCACTGAAAGGTAGTGGCTGTCGATGAAGATTGAGGTACCGTAGTTGGTACAGCGGTTGTCGGTTACAGCCTGTAACAGAAAACAAATGTTCTGCTGGAATGGCGAAAAGGTCTTTTGGGAACCATGATGTAGGGATAGCTTGAGATGGAGCTTGTGATGTAGGAGTCTGTGGTTCAGACGAAACAGGAGGGCGTCGAACCAGAGGTGGTGATGGTGAGCCAGAACAACAAGTAGGTGAAGTAGAACTGTTCCCATCTTTAGGTGAAGGACATCTACTAACGGTAGCCAATAGGAGTGGTCTTTCTCAATGTCGTCTCTGTAATCCGGAAAAGCAGGATCATGAGGATACCCCTACCATGGAGGGAGGGGATCCCTGTAGTGTGGGTACAGTTACCACATCATGTGAGTGGGCACTGTAAGAAATAGGGTTCCAAAGGTGATCACAACGTAGATGAAAGTGAGCGTAGTCTCTTGGTCAAAATCCAGATGGGTGAGTGAAGGAGAAGATCGAGACATGCAGGTTGAATGACTAAGACTCATTGTAGCCTTCATCCTCCCAGCCTAGACGTGATTAGAGATGAGTGATAATCCGTTTCCCTTTTCAGAAGACGAGTAACGATCTGTAAGTTAACGTCACATCTTTGAGGAGTGCTTGTCTCTCGAATGTCTCCAATCCTTGGAGGTTCGATGATCTCTCATGTCCCGTTGAACCTCCTTTGAAGTTTGTTGATCCTTAGGAGTCTGTAGTTTGATTATTAGTCTGGTGTAGGTTGCTTGTCCGAAGATGTACGGTTTGAACTTGACTGTTGCATCTCGGGAGTAAGGCGATGTTCAGAGGTATGAGATTCGGAAGTCCAAGAAACCTTTGATGGTTGGTGATCCGGTGCATCATCTCGGTGTCAAGAGTGAGAAGTCTATTGGTCCCAGTCTGAATGTCGATCTCTTGACTAAATAAAATGCAGTGACTGTCAATGCTAGACGATCAGTAGAGTGATGCGATGTTGCATGTTGAATCTCCCGGTACAAATGTCGATCATCTAGTGAATCCCCTCGGGAATGGGAGGTTCAGTCGCTTTGATCCGATAATTCGTCATACGACTCCTGGTCTTGAGAGGATTGATCTGAAGGTAATGAAATGGTAGATTCCAAATTACGAATTGAACTCGTAAGGTTGATTGATGTGAACCCTCTGAAGGTATAACAGGAGCAAGCTCCATGTTAGTTGTAGAATGCAACAAGATGAAAGTATGATTCTTGGTCGGGTTTGATGTGGCTGATGTAAGCCGATCATCCACACTCGTGTCTAGGGAGAGTAACTGATGGAAAGTCAGAGACTCCCTCATCGTCTGCATAATCAACTACAATCCGAAAACTGGGAATGAGGGTCAGACAGATAGAAAACACATCGGTAGAAACGCAGACTGGTTGCAGTGTGGACTGCTCATCCAATATGTAGAAAAACAGGGATATAAGTGAATGCAGGCAAGAAGACGACAAAAATATGAAGATCGTTTGCAAGGAAAAACCCCAAATGATACCTTAATAACAACATGCGCTGGGAATTACTATGGAGAATAAGTGATATGTATACGTAAGTGGATATTGAGGAAATATATTTGCGGGACATGTCTGTAAATCCGGTGATAGTGTTCATGACAATGGCAAAACACGATCAGATGTTTCGAAAGGTGTAGCTTCATGTGAAATAAAAGCTCAAAGTTTGTTCATATCGGGAAACATACACAAATCTGGTCATTGCATACATTTCCTTCTGTATTAGCGTTTGATTCAATGGTGTGGAAGAAAATATATATGACAAAACCCACTTCCAGAATCATATGTAATCACAACTAAAAGCTGGAAGTAGGATATTTACAACTTTACAATAACAATCTGGATGATGGCAAGCTCTCACATGGTAAACAGTTCAGCTAATTATATGCTAAATATTGTTGTTAAATTTCAGTTCACACATATTTAGAAGTTACCTGTTAAGCAAGTAAGGATCAAACGGGAAAAATGAATCCAAGATTTCAGTCTGAACAGCGAATCCATCATTATTCTGTGTGGACACAGAGATTGTGCAACGCTTGTTCTTCTCTATGATTGTGTCACAAAATGCCAGCTGGTATATTCTGCAAAGAGTAAAACAACGTTTGATCCAGGTACAGTAAACTATGGTAATAACGAACACGCTTATACCGAACTGACTGATATATAATACTGTTTTTATTTTCATACCGGGCATTTGCTGCATATATCCTGTATATATGCTTATAATGAACTATGGTTATAACTAACAAAAATTAGTGGTCCCTTTGAGTTTGTTATAACCGTGGTTTACTGTATTTGCATTACATGTGAATATGGTGCCACAGAACTGTAGCTCACCTGGAGCTCAGAAGTTCAAAATGTCAACAAAGAAACTTAACAAAAGCTGTTGTCAACATTGATATTGAAATATTTTCTGATCTAACACTTAACTTGATTTGAACAAAATATCATAATATACATGCAAAAGTTAGCTTCCTCAGTCTGGCAATTCATGAGAACTGTACTGTAAGGTTATAAACAAGGTCCAAATTAAAAAGAAATACCCCCCAAAGGAATATATATGTCGATCCTACCATAAACTAAAATTTTATGGCAAATTCACCCATCCATTGAAGAATGAATAGTGGCCTGTATGGTTGATGTGCAAAGGTAATATTAAGGTCAAAATGTAGAATATCACAAAAAGATACAAATTGTTACTTTTCAATATAGCTGGCCATGTTTACAATAGGATCGCAACTCTGAGCATCATACAGGCCTTGTAGTTTATGATGTAGACAGACAACTGGATGTACAACAGACAACTTACTAAGAAATAAGCTCACTTCACTTTCAGTCAGGTGAGCTTAAAAACATAAGACAATAACATGATAATGTCAAGTGAGTGTAGTTCCCTAGATTTCCAACATACAACTACAGCAAAGTAATGCTGAATCAGCCCTATTTACATATTGGATATTTTCATCCAGTAATGTTAAGGTAAAGGGTAGGTTAGTTACATCTATCATCAATAAACCCGAATAGTTACAGGAGAATGTAGTTTTAAGCACACAGTTAGCTCCATTTGAGAGTTAAGATTTCATTGTCTACGAGAGCATCTACACATAATTTGTTAGAGTGACTTTGACTTGAAATCATGTTTCACATTTCATCATGTATCTTTTTCTGTGAAAGCCTCCTTTCATGGACAGCTTTATTCTCCGAGGAATTATCTGGATTGAAACAATATGGGTAGACAGAAAAATGTAACATTACAAACACAACAATGATGAACAGGAAGGACTTGACTGTGGAACACTTTGTGTTAACCTTACCGTGTTACAGAAGAAAAGGTTTCAACCACAAGAGGCAAACACGACCTTAATGGGTTTAATCTGCAAGTAACAATCCTCTGCAACTGTAGACCTGCAGCCCATTTGTAACCTGCAAAATGTGTTTAACATTTACCAAACAAATAACAACCATAAGGAAGAGAATTTATGGATGTCAGCTCCTTTATAATGAACAACACAATGTTTCGGAGTATATGCTTACTCCTTCATCAGGTGAATGAATACTATGAGGCAGAGAGCTTATAAATAAAGAAGTTGACATCCATAAATTCTCTTCCTAAGGTGTATCACTTCTAAATGCCTTTCAAACACTTACGATAATAACAACAAGATGTGCTCAATGGTGAGTAGTTTCTTACCACCCTAATAGATTTGTCTGCTTCAAATATGATGTCCACAAACTGTATTTTACCTTCAATATTAGTGACAAGTATCTTAGGAACATTCTAAAAGGCTATCCAGCATATTGCATATACACCAACTACGATGACTCTACCCTGTAGTCCCCGTCCAACCAGCCCATTGTTACACATCAGTTTGTGCTGTTCCATGGGGCCCCCTCTGCTCAGTAGACATCTCGTTTATCAGCTCATAAACACAACAAATTCCCCTGTCTTAACAATTGATAAGTGTTTAAAAAGTCAGATCTTATATATACAGGGCAAAACAATCAGTTATTTTACAGTAACGGAAAGGTCTACACAATTTAACCAAAGTTCATTAATGCAACTGATGTTTTGACAATAATGCAATTATTTTGATACAGATCTCAACAAGTCCATTCACTCAGGTCTGTTCTACACAATCAAGCCACCTTTGTAAGTTCCCCAACATGATGTCCCTTGGTGGATTTTACGTAACCATGAAAACATGGCATGAAAGTAGGTCACTGTGGCCTGTCATCACTTGTTATTCATATGCAATCAAATGATATAAGAACTACATGCATAAGGATTAGAAAATATCTGCATAAATCAAGCAATAGTTATAATTGTGAATAACTCTTAGAATACTACCTCTATTACATCCTTGCCTTAATCCTGTATTTTGGCAATCTTCACACTATGACTAGATCTTCAGATTTTCAACAGAAGTCTTCTTCACTATCCATAAGTAGCTGTCTAGAGGCAGATGATTGGGGAAGTGGGAGCGATTACTCTTGAGGTAACAGGTAGCATTCTCAGAATTAACAATAACCATTTAAGGATTGACTGTATTTTTTTTTTTTCATTAAGCTATGAATCGAGAAACAGATGTGTAAACTGTATGAATCCACGAAGTGAATTCTTACAAAAGTTTGCACATTGGTATTTTTATTCATACCTCAATGAACCGAAAAAAAATACACAGTCAATGCTTATAATTAAATTCGACAACGAAAACATACCATAGTTTAACCAAAAGCAGTTGTTTATATTAAAGCAGTCAAAAATGACGATAAATATTCCTGGTGTAGGAATACATACTGTGGCGTGACATGAATCAGGGGATTGTTTAATTTATGCACATATATTGACGCGCCTACAAAGTCAGTAGCCAATCAACAAAAACAAAGTTCATTGGACATGTCAATCAAGGCAAGAGGCGAGAAGAACTGCAACAACCTTAGCTCCATTTGAGAGTTAAGAACAAATATGTCTGTGAGAAGGCGTCTCTTTCAAATGACATGGTCAGTTGCCGCCAGATTCGAACATTAATTCCCTGAGAACGGGAAGACACAGTTGGAAAAATGCTAGTTAGAAATGAAACCCAAAGACAAGAAAGTTCTGGAGTGGGAAAAAAACAGTCGAGCGAGCCTGCATCTTCAGTCCCAAAGGGTTGTATGAACAATGAATATGCATGAATTTCGCTGAATGTCCTGTGCATGACGATACACGTGAGCAGAGAGGGAATTCTCTCGACTGTGATATTGGATTCCCCAACATTCAGTAGTAATAAAAGTAGTCTGCTTCGGTCGGTGCGGCCTAATTTTTTACATTTATTGGGAAATGAATGTAATAACACGTGACCAATTCAGCTAAACAGAATGCAAGAATTTCAATGAAGACAAGGAAAATTCAATTATTGTTTGATAATTCTTCCAAATACCAAATTCCATTACATCTCTGCCAGAAAATACAAGAGGGACTGGTGGGTTCTGAAATCTAGTAATCCCGTTGGATATTGACAGTTGATCATTGATACTCATTAGATTTTTTCAGAGGACTTCAACTTGGATGAATGAAATGAATCAAGCAAATTGATGATAAACAGACTGTCACTTTTGGACTTGATGATGACATTATTTGCTTTGATGTCATCATTTCCATTTCTGATGGTGTCACTTCCGTTATAAGTGTCATCCCTTTCAGATTTGATGGTGTCATTTCCAGGATTAATGTCTCCCTTTCCCGTTTTGACGTCACTTCCGGTTATGAGGTTCCCTCTGGTTATTATGACATTAATGCCTTTGACTTCAAGCATGGTTTAGTCATTGGCCTATGGCCTGTCCTGCACTCAGTAGATAATAATGATTAAAAGGTTTATTTACCTTCTGAAGCTGACTCTTCCCCCGACCCCCTCCACAGATTGAGCTGCCACACCAGGGCCCACTTGCACAAAGCAATCTTAGCGCTAAGACTATCGTAAGCCTATGTTAAAGTATGGGAATTACAATCATCTTAGCACTAAAATAACTTTGTGCAAGTGGGCCCTGGTCCCAGTGTGTAAAGCCCTTAAGTCTGGATAAATGTCAAGGAAGCAGAGTTGATGAACATATTACGAGACCTTCACTCGTAGCTTGAGACCACATGTTCCCTGGATACTGAGTTCCAGGATGCTAGGCCCATAAAGATCCAAAACCAGCACGGTTAGACAGCAGGGATCTGGCAAACAAGACCTGACAAGAGATGTATTTCTTGAACTCAATATAAAGTGTCCCCGTTCATAGTCATTCATTGGAGTGGACTGAAGTTCTCTTCATCTCCTGGACTGTATTCCAAGTCTCAGTTTGTAGGTCTGACCCTCGATTTGTATCCAAGCTGGTGACTGTGCCTTGGTTTGAACTTTGAAGTGGAGTTTACTAACAAATCTACTTACATGTAAGTTAAGTGAGCTAAAAATTGCAACATCATTAAAGTCAACTTTGTTTTAGAACATTTGGTGAAACATATTCTGGGAAATAGAAAGCAACACTTATGTTTTGCAACATGGTCTACGATACACAAGTTGTCTGCCAATCATGATGCCATGAACAAACTTGAATCTACTTATAGCAATTATCATTCCAAAAGGTTTAGGTGTCAATTTAACAATGATTTGAACAAAACAGGATGTCATAGATAGAAGGCACATGCATGCCAGATTTCAAATTTGTGAATCCATCAGTTTCACAGGAGAACATGTATACAGAGTCGAAAATTACATTTGCAAGAATTGAAGGGAATGGTTGTATCAAATTAATAATATTACAAACAACAGAACATACATGTTAGGCCCTACAACAAACTAAACATTACTAACAACAAACATAACAAATGTCATTACTTTTGTCAGTTCCAGCCTTTATTGGGTTTCTCTATATGGCTGCCATAGCTGATGTTTCAGTTGAGATGTTGACAGATGCCACTGACATATGCACCATAGGCTCAATGTTTTCAGAGGAAATGTTGAAAATATAAAAGTTTACAACGGACAGATAGACAAGAGGAGGAAGAAGTAGTAGTCAAGATTCATGGGGCTGCCAACTACAACAAAGTTATGATGAAAATGTTAAAGAGAGGTTCATCTTAAATCATAGGTAGTATTTCCATTTTTGCCTTTTTTGGCAGGATATTCTGTTGAACAAAAAACAAATCTGATCTGGCCTTGTTTATAAAATATATTTTGCTAAAAAGTGCTCTTTATTTAAGAAATAAATGACAAGGGGGAGTTGTTTATAGTACAATAGTACAGCAGGCAGAATAAACCATGAGATATCAACTTTTGTACAGCCTTTATAAGGATGTCAATAAATTGTACAAGCTTTAAAAACATTTACCAGTATTTAAATAATGATGATTCCATAAATTCAATCTGACAACTCCATTTTATGTACAGGGGGCTTAAGTTTGGCATTCTCACAATTTTCACATTGATTATCTGCACCTTTTCTCCCAATACTGATTGTCATATCTCTCCTACTTTTGGGTGCGATAGCTTGGCCATTGCATTCATCTGCGCTGTCCAGCTACATCTATGGGAAACATCTCAATATATTCTTCCCTCTAAAAAATAATGTCGTCCTATTTACCTCATCAAGTTGGGAGTGCATAATCTCCACATATAACGTCATGATAGAACAATGTTTTATCATATAATGGGTATGTTTCTCGGCAGGATAAAGCCAACGGATAAAAACGATATCCGTTTGGGTCATATACGGATAGAGATGCAAATATCAAAGGTCAAGTAGGGACTACTTTCAGTGTTTATAAACAAACATGGCGTCGCCCTTGTCATTCGGCAATCGAGTCAGAATTAACCATGGGGAATCTGGATAAACTACAGGGATGATTGCTATCATTATTAAAAGAACAGTCTAATATACTGAAAATCAGTGTCTAACCATGACGTAGCTAAGGCATTTTATAAGTTTTGGCAACTTTGGAGATATAAGTTTTGAAAACAAATTTTTGGAAGGCACTAGGCCTAGCCAAGCGGGATCAGTAGCCATGTCTGTGCTTGTAGACCTCTGCGGCTTGACACCTTTTCCACTAATTAAAATAGTTGGATTTGGCCGAAATATGTTTGAATTGTTACCTTGTTTCGTTTTGTCGCTGTGTGTACATCTGACTACACTTCTTAACGTTATGACAGGACAGGCCAACTGTCAACGTCTGAACGTGGCCGTGATGACTAGGGTTAGAGTAGCTTCCCTTTGACAAAGGACAGTTACTCTAGCGGACAGACTGATGGATTGCCGCGAAAGGCAAGTAAAAACAATTGTTGCTTTGCGTATATGTTGCTTCGCCACTGTATAAGAAACAGATTTCAGTTGGAACTATATTGGCTACTGTCACTGTCCCACTGACACATCACTTGCCCTGTGACGTAATAAATATTAATGCGCACATTCCAAACTCGCAATGTTTCGGTAATGTTTGTGAGAGAGGGAAAGCGATTTTGAAGCACAGAATTAAAGAATGACATTATATGATAAAGAGGTTATCATGCTTGTGTGTTTTGGGATTGTAAATATCCTGTATTAGGAATAAACACTATGTATTTAGCTCGCCAAGGCGTTTATTCCTAATGCAGGATATTTACCATCCCCAAACACACTCGCGTGATAACCTCTATTTATGTGTAAGATATGGTCAGAAAAGTCATAAATAGTTTTGTATGTGGGGTTTGTCCGAGGCCTGCACGTGCAAAACTAATCTTGACTTTTCAGACCATATCCAGCTTAAAACAAAGTTGCAGAAATGTGCAGGGTTGACAATTGGAGGTTGATTCTTCAAACATGAAAAAGATAGGAACAGAGTGCACAAACACAACCTTGATCGGACTAACCTATTGGAGGTTAATCTGTTTGAAAGTATTGGAGATGCACATGCATTTTTCATTGTGAACGAAACATTCGAAAGATTAGGTGAAACTTGTTAAAGACAACGATTTTTCTTTTAGAGAAGCAGAGATTTTCTTTTTAAAGTAAGAGTGATCTATTGGAATGTTGATTTCTGTAAAGTGATTCAGAACTTCTTGAGGCATCACAAAGAGTTGATGAATCTGTTAATAAAGAGATTCGAAAAAAGCTCTCCTGAGGTAAGTTGTCTGTATGTCTGTCTTTATTGGGGCACTGGTGGCCCAGTTGTCTAAGGTGCCGCAATTGGCGAAGCAAAGTTGCGTCCCTTCTGCACGCCAGAAACCTATGATTGTGGGTTCGCATCCTGGTTGGCCCAAATTGTGTTTTATAGGTTTGTCAGCACCAAACCTGTGGTCGTGGTATAATCAAAGAAGTGAACGCCTAAGACAAGACGCACATCAGGCTTTCCTCCCACATTAAGCTTACACCCTGTGATATTACTGGAATACTGTTCAAAGTGTCACTGGTATATTACCATGATATTGACATTTATGGAAATGAATATATCAGTTAATAACATTGAATAATTATAGGTAATACAATGGTTTATACTATACATATGCGATTATTATACGAGCATGACATTTTTAGTGTGTCGTGCTGATTATACGAAATGGATCACATAATTCTTGTATTTCCTGAGCGAGAGCAAGGTAATACATGAATTCTTACATGAGTTTCATAAAATCAGGATGACATACGAGGGGTGTTCATTAAAGATTTCCCCTAAACCACTTAGGGTTATCATATTTGGTTGAAATTTCACATGTGTGAGTGAGTGAGTGAGATTGGTTTTACGCCGCTTTTAGCAATATTCCAGCATTATCACGGCGGGGGACACCAGAAATGGGCTTCACGCATTGTACCCATGTCGGGATTCGAACCCGGGTCTTCGGCGTGACGAGCGAACGCCTTAACCACTGGGCTACCCGACCGCCCCTTTCACATGTGTAATGATACATGTATCTATGGGTTATGTCTGAATTTGCAGCACCGAACTATTAATCTTACCACTTTTACAGGTGTTATGATAGAGTAGGGTGTGACAATGGAGCCAGTAGAATACCGAGCAGTGATTAGGTTTTTATATTTGAAAGGTCGCACACCAAAAGAAACTTTCGATGAAATGAAAGCAACTTATGGGGAAGATGCCCCATCATATGACATTGTTAAACACTGTCATCGCCAGTTCAAGTGTGGTCGGACATCTGTGGAAACAGCTGCCATTCCTGGTCGCCCCCATTCAGCCATTGATGAGGACACTATCCATCAAGTGGAGACCGCCATTTTGGCAGACCGAAGTATAACTGTTCGCCAGTCAGCACAAGATGTCAAGATCAGTGTAGGGTCTGTGGAAAAAATCATCCATGACAATTTGAACATGCATAAGGTGTCTGCATGATGGATTCCCAGGTTGCTCACACCTTTCCAAAAGCAGGAACGAGTCAATTGTTCAAAGGATCTTTTGGACATGTGCCAAAACAAACAGGCAAACTTTTGTGACAGACTTATCACACAAGATGAAACATGGGTCCATCACTATGATCCTGATACTAAAGTTCAGTCGATGCAATGGAAGCATGTGGAGTCACCACCCCCAAAGAAGGCACATGTCCAACCCTCTGCAGGCAAGGTCATGCTCACAGTGTTTTGGGACCAGCACGGAGTAGTGATGATGGATTTCTTGGCAGAGGGTACCACAATTACAGGAGATTCTTATGCTTCACTGCTGCGGAAATTGTGGGACGCTATCAAGCTTAAGAGGCTTGGCATGCTGACCATGGATGTCCGTCTCCTGCAAGATAATGCTCCAGTACACAACTCTCATGTTGCCCAGACAGAAGCGCGGTCCTGTGGCTATGAAATCCTTCCACATCCTCCTCTCTCTCCTGACCTTGCACCATCTGACTTCCACCTCTTTCCAACCATGAAGTCATTTTTGAAGGGAAAACGTTTCACAGATGACGAAACACTCATTTCTGAAGTCAAGTCCTGGTTTGAGACGCAAAATGAGGGCTTTTACAAGTGAGGTCTCCATAGTTGCATAAAACGATGGGAGAAGTGTGTAACTCTTGGTGGTTCCTATGTTGGGAAAGACTAATACCTATGCCAAGTTTCATTCCACTAGGTCCATCGGAAGTGGGTCAGGGGAAATCTTTAATGAACACCCCTCGTACATAGGAGTGTAAAAATGTCCTTATTACCCACTATTTCTTAAACCTATTGAGCTCGCCTTTTGAGCTCCCGTCTTCAGCTATGACGCCGTTTCTAGTAAGATGTTATTCCGACCTAACGTCTTAATAAGATTCGACAATAACAATGCCACATGGATGACGTAAACCGTACACTGGGGCGCTTGAAGTGGTATTTCCAATTATGTTTCTAGGTTTGTCAGCACCATACCCGTGCTTGTGGGTTTCAACGAAGTGTTAAACGTCTGAGACCTGCATCACTTCGGGCTTTCCTCCGACATTAAGCTGACACGCCGTGATATAACTGGAATAATGTTAAAAGCGGCGTTAAACCCAACTCACTCACTCACTCTTAAATTCGAAAAAAATGTAATATGGTATCAGTTCAAATTGCATTGTTGTATTTCGCTTATTTAGTAGTGAAATATAGTAATTTAATTCACAGCGTGACTATTTAGTTGTTAATTATTGTTTACTGGCTGTTTGTATGTCATGTGATCACCGTATATGCTCTTATGAAGAGCAATGATTATCGGTGAAGTGTTCAGAGTGCACCTGCTACATTGATTACAGTGTTTTTGAAGAGAACAGTATATTTCCTTATTCAGTGTCTAAATACCACCAATAACCACGTTTTTAAAGATGTCCTCCAAAAGTATGCACACCTTTCTTGTACTTGATAGGCTATATCTCAATATCAGTAATTCAGAAAAAGAATATTGAAAATTTACTTGTTTACACTTTATTTAAGAGAACGTCTGCGGAGATGGAGGATCGCGTGAGCAGTGTTATCTGTGGGAAGTCCTTCAAATATGCCACATCAGTTACCAAAAGTTCTATCGTGGAATCTATGGCAAGAATATCTGCTACAACGAAAGACTCAAAAGGTGGAATGGTAGACATGGCTGCCCAATCAACAGCAGTCTTTGCATTGGAGAAGAAAGATTTGAAAGTTAATCTGCCTGATGGAACAGTTGTGTCCAAGTCCTTCTAGAGTAAATGCTTAATTGTTTGTTGTTTGTAATATTTTAGTTGTGAACAAATCTAAAGTGTTGTATTTTCATTTCATTCATTTGAAAAGGAATGTGTTGCGTTTAGGCTATTCTACAATGAATTAACTGCTTGCGTTTCTGTACTATTGGAGGTTGAACATTAGTTGAAAACTACTGGAGGATATCTAGCCATTATGTTGTCTATTGGAGGTAATCAAAATGAAATAACATTGCACAAAAATAACTAAAATCCATATAACTTTGTTTTAACATGAAATAAACCACACTTCGCTCTTGTTCTTTGTGATTTATCACATACCTATCTTATATTCTTTGATAAATCATGGTCATTGAAAAGGTTTTATGTTGTTTACATTTGTTTAATACAGAATTTTGGGCATGCACCAGGTCTCAACCATAGAAAACAAAAGGTTAATCTGGTTATTACCTTTTTCACTATCCAAAATGTCTTTGCTTCTAAAACAAAAGACATAAAAAATGGCCTGACAAACTGAGTAGAAAGGTGCATGGTGACTAACATCTGCAAATATGGTCTCTGCAGAGATTTCTTCAAGATAGCGATGCACCCATTCCACCATCAGCTCCATGCAGGTCTTCAGAGTTCTGAAACAAGCAATAAATTGTCAATTACATAGTAACAGCACTTACAGCAGAGGTTCAAAATAGGGCCTATTTCAAATACTTATAAAAATACCCAAAGGTATTTTTTAGATAGTAGGTGGCAAGTGTCCCTCTCCATGATATTGCTGGAATATTGCTAAAAGCGATACTCACCCAAACAGTTTTAACACTATCAAAGTTTTATACGTGCACAGCAGAACTGAATCTGATCACCTGCCCATTTCCTGTCAATTTTTACATTTTGTTTGTCAGCCGCCGACACTGGGTGACAATGTAAAATTAGTTATAATGAAAGTTCCCAGATTTGTGTGGTCTGAAGATAGATATAAGTCCCATATAGACAATACTAGTAAAATCCTATATATTTTTTATATTTGTATACTTATCCTGCATAACTCCTTAATGCATATTAATATTACTGCTTGTTCTTGACAGAGAAAAGTGCTGTGTGAGGGTCTTTGCTTGAAGTAGTTGCTCATACTAGCTGAGAGGCCAGCCCATCACACAACTCCCACGTGACCAAAGGAAGTGACGTCACAGATCCTCACATTACTCTGTAGTCCGAAACATCGGATGGCATCGTGGGGAGGTAGATCTGCGATGGGCGGGTCCCTTTAGACGCAGTAATGCAGGATAAGTATACAAATATAAAAATATCTAGGATTTTACTAGATTTTTTACTTATCCTGCATTACTCCTTAATGCATCTTTATCGGATGGAACTGGAGGTGGGCATACCTTCAGATGTGGAATTTCATCTGTTATTTCCAGACTCTGTTCCCTAGCCAATCCTTGGCTGTGTGGTCGGCATCGGGTGACCACTCCATGTGTGGGAACCTCCCATTCCCTCAGCCCGTCCTCGGCTGTGTGTTTAGCATCGGGTGACCACTCCATGTATAGAAAACTCTGTTTCCGTCAGCCCGTCTTCGGCTTTGGTCGGCCTGGATGACCATTACATGGAAGGGAAGAGTCAGGTATGCGTTGTGTCCTGGTACTGCACAGCCTGACAATAATGCTCGGTTAGGTTGAGACTGGAGCACCGAGCCGTATGCAAATGAGGCATGAACCTTCCAGTCCAGGGCTTACGCTAGGGGAGGTCGAAAGGCCGGCTCTGGACTTGGAGGCGTGGTCAATGACGTGTAGTAGTAGTGACCTGCTGGGCCACTACTAACAGACCAAAGCTGTGCGTGCCTTGCACATCCTCCAATGCAACGTCTTGCAGGTAGTGAATGGCGAGGGCCGTGTTGGATCGCCAGAAACATCCCTCCATGATGACGCGTAGAGAGCAGTTGCTGTGTAGCGCCATGGTGGAGGCGACCACCCGGATCTCATGCGGGTTGTTGGAGCGTGGGGGGGTCCAATCCCGCTGCCTCATAGGCCTGGAGGATGATGGCTCATAGCCAGAGGGCAATCGTGTTGCGGCTGACTTCCACTTGCGAGGTCGCAGATACCGGTATGAAGAGGCGTCGTCGTTGTCTACGGCGTTCCTTGGAACGGTGGATGTAGCAGCGAAGCGCTCTAACCGGACAAAAATGGAGCTCTAGATCATCTTCTGCGCCCACAATCGATGAAAGATGGGGGATGAGGAACAATCTATCGGGCTGGCCTGGGAGCTGATTCTTTGCAATGAAGTCCCAGCACAGGCCCAGATGCACTGCTCCGTGTGCTCCCTGCTCGTGTGACGTCTAGGGCGTGTAGCTCACGGACACAGGCTGCTGTGGTGAGCACCAGTAGGAAGACCATCTTTTCCGTCAGGTTGTAGAATGACGACGTTTCGAGTGGCTCGAAAGGGGTGTCTCTCAGCAAGGTGAGAATGACGTTCAAGCCCCAAGCTGGTGTACAAGATTTCGCCTTTTGGTCTTCCAGCCTGAATGAGCGGAGCAGAGCCTGCCAGGACGGAGTTGAGCGCCACAAGGTAGGTCATGATGGTACTGCCCTTGAGCTTACACTTGTGACGCAGATGGAGCATGAACTCGGCCAGGAATTGAGGCGATGCAGATGTGGGGTCTAGGTGCTTGCCCCTGCAAAGGCTCTCGAAGGATTGCCACTTGTCATCATAGAGGCTCCTGGTGGTTGGGCGATGTGCCATCGTGATGGCCCTAGCCGCTCTTGTCGAGTAGCCTTTGGCGTTCAATACTCTCTGTAAATGGACCAGACGTGAAGACATAACCTGTCTGGTCCTGGGTGTGGCTGTCTGCTGTGTGGGTGGATCAGCAGATTTGGCCAATCTGGGTGTGGCAGTGGGTTGACGTCGGACAGCTCTCTGAGGTCGACGAACCAAGCCCTCGCTGGCCACCAGGTCGAGACCAAAGTCAGATCGAGGTCCTGTGTCCATCTGATCTTCTGGACGACTTTGGGAAGGAGTACAGGTGGCGGAAAAGCTTATGCTGTTAGTCCTTCCCAGGAGACACTGAAAGTGTCGACTGCCCAAGCCAGTGGATCCGGCACCGGAGATATGTAGGTCGTGGATCTGGTAGTTCTGGCTGGTGGCGAATAGGTCTATGTTGGGGAGACCGTGGTCTCGACAAACAAGAGCGAAGGCATCTTGGTGAAGTTTCCACGCTGTGGGAGCCACTTTGCCTGGCCGAGAGAGGGCATCCGCTAGGATGTTTCAGCAGCCCGGGATGTGGTGGACCTGGAACTGAATCCCCAGATGACCCACCAGGTGAAACAATCGGAACGTCTGTTGAAGGAGCGAAGTCGAGTGAGTCGTTCCTTGGTTCCGAAGGCACCATACGACAGTGATGTTGTCCGTCGAGATGGAGAGCCGGGCATGTCTGAGGGCCTTCTTCAAGTGAGCGATGGCCAAGATAAGCGCTTCCAGTTCGAGGTTGTCGGTGGACCACAGCCCTGAGGCGACCTGTCCCTCCTGGTGTGCGCCCCATCCCTGTAGGGACGCGTCTACGAAGAGGCGTAGAGAGGTCGTAAGCCTTGTCAATGAGACAATCGTCCACCACCGGAGATGCTGCTTGAGATGACCTGGAGGACGATGGATATGGAGGGATCTTGGCGTCTGATGTAGGGCGCCAGGAACATCTGAACTGGGCGCAGTTGGAGCCTTCCTCTGTAGGTAGGTGTCCTCGATGTCCAGGCTCATGAGCGCCTCTGCACCTTGATCCGGGATCGCAGTAGCCTGAGCGTGGTCATCCTGAAGTAAGGTGGACGGGCCAGGTAGCGCTTGTTGAAAGCGGCGAGGTTGTGGATCATCCTGTGCTTGTCCGAGTCCCTCTTGGGGACCAGGAAGATGGGTTAGTAGAAGCCTGGTGTTATGGCTGGGGCGTGTACAACCTCTATAGATTTCTTGTCTAGCAGTGCCGTGATGTTCCGGCTCAGTAGCTGCTGTTGGGTTGGGGGGTATGTGTCCACTGTGGGTGACGACGTCAGTGGTAGTGAGCTCGATCAGAGCGGCGCGCATGTGGGAGCGCATCTGTTCCATCTGTTGTTGGAGGTAGGATACGACGGTAGTTAGCGGAGGACAACCCCCATAGGATTGACCATCTAAGTCCTGCAGTATGGCCCTGGAGGACGACGCCATCAGTGAGAGAGGTTTGAGCGTGTGGCGAATCTCAGTCTCCACGTAGGCGAGTTTGCTGTCGGAGACTCGGACTGAGCTGGAGCAGTTCAAACCCGTCATGCGGTGCATGTCCTCATCTAAGGAGTGAGCATGGTCCGCAACTTGAAGAGAGTGGACTGGGAAGTCATCTCGTCTATAATTTTGGGCCCTGAAGGACGAAGTCAGTGACAGCTTACTGAAGTCCTCGTCCAGAGCTGAGATCATGTCTCTGATCAGTGGGTCAGGAGGGATCGAAGTAGGGTCAGCACGGATGGCCGTCTTGCTATCGACCTCTAGGCCGGGCGAGGGAGCGATAGCCTCCAATCTGTCTGCTAGCCAGTCTGCGACCTGGTCAAGACCAATGTGGGATCCACCGTCCATAGGGGTGTCGTCATAACAAGGGATGAAGGCGCCCTCCGAGGAGTCAGATCGATAGCCACTGGAGTGCCTGCTAACTGGGGAGCGGCTCCTAGATGTATGACCTTGCCAAGAAGATCTGCTGCCTTGAGGATGTACTTGGCAAGGGCGCAGGCATCTGTATGGACGCCGTGCAGATAGCAGATAGCTGAGCCATTAACCTCGAAAGATTCAACAGAAGTAGCTAATGCACTGAGTTGCATATATAAACGCGGACCACTAAAATGGCCTAAGCTATTTCAAGTAGATCCCGGTCGCGAGTTTATGGGATCGATAACTAAACTGTTAACAAAGCACGATGTCGAAATCAGGCGTGGTGATAGAGAGGCCCACCGCAGTCAAGCTATCGTCGAAAGATTTAACAGGACATTAGCGGAACGTTAGTTTGGCTATCTGTATGGGATCGAAATGAAATCAGAGCAATTGAGATCAACCGATAATAATGAAGTAACGAGATTAATAGGGAAGAAACCATCCGATGCTATTAAAATGAAATCTGTGACTTCCGAATCTTCAGCACCGAGGAGAGGCAAAGAACGAAAACTTCCGGATAGAGTAAGGGTAAGACATTTATACCAGGCCGGTGAACTCGAAGGAGGCCTACGTCGCACAACTGATCCCATATGGTCCCTTGAGACATATAACATTAGTCGATTGGTTATGAAAGAAGGAGAGCCTATTCTTTATAATCTTCAAGATGGACTGGGTAGGGCATTTGTACGAGAAGAGTTGTTCATAGTTCCCGACGGTACGGTATTACCACCATAACCATAAGCATAGGTAGTTACACCATCATTATCAATCCATCCCTTTGTATCTAAGGGGGATAATGATGTCTTGTTCATTCTTAATCCATATATCCTATGATTGTAACTTCTTAAAGAGTTCATCTCGTGTTTGAACGTTTTACCATTGAATAATGATTCTTTATACTGTTCGTGTTTGATATGCTTTTTTACAACATACTTCTTAACGCCCTTAGCTTTTCTTATCTCCCCATTATCAGACTTCT